ATCACCACCGCCCTCATAGCTAGGTCTCTGGGCTCACCTCCTCCAGCCAGCCACACCTCCCACAGACATTCCCCACCCAGCCTTCCCAAGGTGCTCCCTCAGCCTGAAACCCTCTCTCATTCTCAAAATTCAGGTCAAAGTTCACATGCCACCTCGTCAGAGAAGACACCCCTGACCTCCCCATCTGAAGTGATCACGCCTGCCTGTCCCTTAGTCGGCCCAACTCTCCACCTGTGTTTCATTTCCTCCACAGCACTTACTACAATCTCGAAGTCTTAATCATGTGTGTGTTCCTGCCTGTTTTATCTTCCAACTCCCCACCACACCCACTAGGATGACAATAACATGATGGCAGGGGTGTCTTCCACTCAGCACTTACAATGTGGGTGACACATAGTAGGTACTCAAGTATTTGCTACTGCACGACTTCGGGATTTCACGTGTGCCACCTTCCCCTCTCCTCGCCAACCCGCCATCCCTCATCCCCCACCCCCGCTTAGAATGTCGTTCCTTGCTACCTCTTCCTTAGCAAACTCCTAGTCACCCTTCAGAACCCATCCAGTTATCAGTGAACCAGGGAAGACTTGGTTGTGGCCTCACACAAAGCTGACATAAAGGCCTCCTCTGGGAGTACACAATGCCCTGGGCCACCTCCAGTACACATGTGACTGTGGGTGTCAGCAGGGTCTATTTCCTCAACGAGACTCTCTTCTGGAGGGCAAAGAGTGAGGCACAAATTAGGCCTCAGGAACCATTTATTGAATGAATAAATTAATAATACATGAGTAAACATATCTCCCTGAGACTCTGCTTCCATTTTATTTACTCCCCCAAGGCCCTGCCATACCTCCTGTTCCCTGTGAATTTGACCCCTCCTTCTTGTCTGGCAATTCAACGGCAAATCCTCCTCTTAGGTGGTCATAGGGAGAGGAAGATGAGGGACGAGATAGGGGTGGTTTCAGATATGACACACAGGGGATCTTAGCTTATGAAGTCCCAGTGGAGAATTGTTTGATTCCTGGGCCCCCCTTAACCCAGAGAATAAATACTGATCCCCTCCCCCGATGACAAGGCTATCCCAGCTTGGAGACAGGTGAACTTGGATCCACAGTCCTAAAGCTCACTCAGTGAAAGACATTGTTATGGCTGTATAGGCAGGCAGGGGGTTGGACAGAGCTGGGTCCTTAGGTGCCCGATCCTCCCACCCCACCCCCACTGAGCCTCCAAGACTGGATTCGTTGCCTCTGCCCAGGACTTACTGAGTCAGACTGCGCAGGGGTGGGAGCCCCCACTGGTATTTGGGAACCACTTGCTAAGGTTTGGAGAGAGGGTGGGGCCTCCTTTGCGGCCAGAGAAGGAGGAGGGAGCCCCTGGGCCCTGGAACTGGGGCGGAGGCTCTGGGAGGCTCTGGGTTTCGGTATCACCTCCAGCTCAGTACGGGGGAGCACGTGGGGGGGTTGGCGCGGGGCCTCCAGCCTCCTCCCTCAGATCCGGCAGACCAAATACCTCTATAAGGACAGTTTCTCCACCTGCACATGAAGGGATCAGCTAAATATGTATTTGTGTCACAGCCCATGTGACCTTGGGCCAATGGCCTCCCCACTCTGAGCCTCTATCTGCTCCTCTGTGCATGTGGTGCCAACTCCCCCCATCAGCGTCACAGAGGGTAAGGGGTCTGCTCCTTCCCTCAGCCCCCAACCCAGGCAGCAGCTCAGAAAACATTTATGGCATGGATATGACAGGGACACAGAGTAGCAGGAACTGGAGACAGAGACACTCAGACTCCCTCCCTGCTGCACACCTGAGAACCACTGCCCAGCCCTTAGGTGTGCACAGTACCCTTGCTTCTTGGCCCTCCCCTCCATGACTCAGGCAGCTCCCTGGCCTAGGACTTCCTCCCTCATTCTCTAGGCCACCTTGGGCTGCCAAACTCGCCCTTCAAGTTCAGCTCTGGTCGCCCCTCCTCCCCCAGGAAGCCTGCCCTACCCCTCTGAGCAGCCTCTCTGGGTTTCCACATGCCCTTCATGTCCTCCATTATAGCACATATGCAAAGAGAAACTGTCATCTCTGTGGTTGTCACACTCACCTGTCATTTCTTCTTTGCCAGGTACTGTGCTAAGAGCTCTCTATAATCTCATTTAATCCTCCCAAAACTGTGATCTCATTTTACAGTCAGGGGACTGGAGCCCTTAACCAGAGAGGTTAAGTAATGTGCCAGGGTCACACAGCTAGAGAGGGGCCAGGTCACAAAATGGCAGCGGGGTCTAGATGGTGTGGCCTGGGTTCAACTGTCTCTATCACGTATTAGCTGTGTGATTGTAGGCAAATTGCTTAATTCATATGTGCATCAGTTTCCTCATGTGGAAATAGGGTTCATAGGACCCGTTTTATGGATTGTGGTGGGGATTTTACATATACACACACGTATAGTGTACTCACGGTAGGAACATGACCGAAATTAATAAGTGACAAAGCAGGACTTGAACCCACATCCCCGGGCTCTTTGCCAGCACACCACACCATATAATTCCTCTCTGTCCTTTCCTCCCCTTCAATCTAGGACAAAGATATGTCTTCTCTGGCTTCCAGCCACACTCAGCATAGACTGTGGGGTCAACATGTGTTGAATGACACAAAGCAATCAGGCACATGAATGCACCAAATACAAAAAGCTCGTTAATTCAACAAATGTCTCACTCCGTGCCAGACACTTTTCTACATGCTTCAGAGAGAGTGGGAGACTGAACATACAAAAGTGTTTTCCCTTGTGAAGCTTACATTCTACCAGGGAGACATAAAATAAGCAAAAGAACATCTACTATAGTGTGTTAGAAGCCAATAAACACTCTGAGGAAAAATTAAGTATGGGGCAGGTGAGGAGATGAGGAAGGAGGGGAGAGTAAGAGGTGCTACAATTTTAAATAGGGTGGTCAGCCAGGTCCCTCTGAGAAGGTGACATTCAAGCAAAGACCTGAAGGAGATGAGGAGCAAGCCATAAGGATATGCGAGGGAACGGCATTCCAGGAAGAGGTACCAGCAAGTGCAAAGGCCCCAAGGCAGGACAAGGGAACAGCAAAGAGGCCAGTGTGCTGGCCTCAGTGATGGGAAAAGTAGACACAGTGACTGGAAAAGGAAGAAGAGGAGGTTGAAGAAATGTCCCTTAAGACACTGCAGACCTCAGCTTTTATGCAGAGAATGGAGAGCCACTGGAGGTTTTTGAGCAGAGCTATGATATGATTGACTTAGGTTTCTGTGAAGTCCCTGCATTGATACTAGCAGCGGGGGCAGCGGAGGACGGAGCAGGAAGACCAGTTAGGAGGCAAGTCCAAGTGAGAGATGATGGTGGCAAGGATCAGCAATGAGAAAGGAGAGTGGCATGTCCACCCTTAGAGGTCCAAACTTTGGCCCCTGACCTTGTGCACTCACTTCATGTGTGACCTTGCAAGGCTCTTAACCCTTATGGGCCCATTTCTTCATCTGTGAAATGAAGGTCCCCAACACTCACCTCACTGGATTTGTGTGTAACTCAGTCAGCAAGGACCTTGGCACACGAAAGTTCTTGGAAGGAGACTTCATGCCTGAGAAACCTGTTCTTTTTGTGTGTGTGTAATGTACTTGGAGTTGTACCAGGCACTGAGTGAGCCATGTTTTAGCCATCAGCATCACAGAGAGTTATTGAGGAAAATGTCCAAAGGATGAGGGAGAGGAGGGGTGAGGGTCGAGGGTACCAGTGACAGCA